ATCCACAGTAACCCCCTGAAAACGTATAATTATAGAAACTCCGCTCAAACACTGGAATAAAGGAAGAATCTCATGAAAAGCGTCGCGGAGGAACGAAAACAAGGTCGCGCTTGCTACGTAAACACATATTTGCACATCGACGCAAACATTCCTCCTCAGGCCTCTTTATTTTTGCGCGCTGAGACTCGAGGTTGCCCCCAGCGCGTTGCGAAACGTCCTGCGCGTATATCGAATATAATTAAAGAGAGGAGGAAGACGAAGAAGAAGGAGAGGCGACGGGTCGAATGAAAATAAAACGGGCTGGAATTGAGGAAAATGGCGGTCTCCTGACGTCATCGGGTTCAAAGGGGGCGGAGGTTGGTCTACGACCCGGCCGAGTCTGTGTATAGCCGTGTAAGGAGAATTAATATCATTGTAGATATCATAGTATCTTAGATGTGAGACTACGAAGAGGGAACACTTGTTTTAAACTTTCAAAGTATACTTCTTCCGGTTGGACGACGGCAGGGGCGGGTGGGGGCACGCCGGGGACTCGTGAGGAGTGGAAATCACGCGACTGTATAATAAATGGCTCCTTTGCCGATGTAAATGACGTTGACTTTCATTTCTCCTGACCGATGCATGGACATCCCGTTTCGTTAGGGTGAAGATGATATGTACACCACTTTTGATTTGATCATTGCGTTGATTACTGGAGTTGATTAATTTCTGAGAATTTTCATGGGAATATGGTAGTTCCTGTGTTTGCGATTGATTACATGCTTAGGACACTTTTTCGAATTAGTAGATTTTGTACTTTTTGTGTACTTCGATTGTTTGGCAATTGATATTGATGATTTTTGTATGGATAGAGGAATGGAAGTGTGAAAATTTGTCTTTATTAGAGTCCATATTGAAAATTGACGATGGGGGAACTGTTTGAGGTTGACGCAGTATTTCTGATTTAATTGGATCGAGGGGAGCAATTGATTGGCGGTTTGTTATAAATGAACGTTTATTTTCTCTTAGGTAACAAGATTCATACATGAAATTATAGATCACGCTGTGCGATCTGTATATTAGATTGTAGCTCGTAATCGAGTGTCCGTCTCACCCTCGGAAGGACCGAAATTTCGAAGGATCGTTAGCGAATAAAATGTAGGCTGAGATATTAAAGTTACATTCGTATTAAACGTGAGCCGAGGAGAAGTTTCCCTTCCAGGGATCGTCGAGTACATTTTGATTCGAGTAGAACGAGGATCGCGGCGAACTCCTCCGCGGATTTTTACGCACTACTAGCTTCCGAAGATCGTCAAAGAAGAATAAAATGCGAAGTCGAATGGAATTCCGTGTCCCTAACAATCTTATCGATCTATCGGAGAGAACCGTCGACGCGGTAAAATAAATTCTATCTCGCTTCGAACCCTCGATACTTCCCTTTGAACAGTTCTCGCAACAAAAAAACGTCCGCGTTCCAACCGTCGACGCACGAAATCATAGTTCACGCGGCAAGGCACGAAAAGAATTCAACGAACGCTTGGAAGAACTTTGTTCCGAAACTTCATTTCGGGTTTGTCCGAATGTTCTCTCGGTTTTCGTACAGCTCGAAGCGACCGATCGGAGAGAAGTTACGAATTCGAGCGCTCTCTTTTGCCGTGCGTCTCTCCAAAAATAGAATCGTTTACCTGCAGCGTCGGAAAAGAGGAAGAACAACGAAACGGATCGTTTCATCTACGTTGAACCTTCTACGAGCGAGAACCACGATCCAATGTTTTGTTTTTTTTCGTCCATTTTCTTTTAGATAGAAATCCCGTAACGTTTTCTGGAAAAATATTTTCGACTCTCAGAACCTCCGTCGCTCCGTTTTTCTTTTGTTTATAAATCGTCGAGTCCGTGGCCTGATGCGTCACCGAGGTAAAAAAGAAGTCTCTCCTAATTTGGCGCGATGCAGCCTGCATGCATGCGTGGGCCCCTTAATGTTGCACATTAAGGAAGCATCAAAGCGCAGGATTACTTTGGAAACTTCGTTGCTTAACAATGCGTGGCACGTCAAAGAAACGAACGCGTGTTTTTGTAACGTTCCTCGTGCACGGGGTGTCGCGTGAAATTCGAAATACAATTTCCATTGCGCGCTCAACGAAAGAAAAGGATATTTATACTCTTATTCCTGAAGATTCGTCGGTGAATTAAACGTGTACTTCTGTTTCCACGTTTCGTTGGAAATTGCATATTTCACGGGACACTCGGTACACATACGCAACATACACGCGTACATATGTGTACATATACATTTCACGATTATCTTGTGCAAAGTATGAATACTTACATACCCTTAAGAAAAATCAGCCGCGTATCGTTTGGAGAACCAGCAGAAGCCTCGCGAGTAAAAACCGAAGTTAACTCTTTGCACTCCGGACATTTTCGATATCTGAACAGTGAAAACAGTTCATTTCTAGTGAAGCTTTCGAGAATCTAAACTTTCGTTCGAAAAGGAAAATTATAAATACTCATGGATTCATGTCTTTCAATCGCGTTTGTCAAGTCGCTTTGTTCGAGTGGAAAGAAAAAGAGTTTTAAAGTTTGAAATGATATAACATATGATATCTGTGACCCAAATTATGTTTCTAGAGCAGAGCGAACGGAGTGCAAGGGGTTAGTTCATAGAAAATATAAAGACAGCTGTTGATTTTTATTGGATAAACATGGAAACCTCGATTAAACGAAACAAGCGCGCCATTGTTCGAGAATATTTCATCGCTCGTTGTCAGCCAGCACAATTAGGGCGTTCAGAACGGGAAAAATATAGAGTTTATTGTTTCATGATTGTCGGTTCACCATTGTTGTTCGCTGCACGAGTGTCGATTACAGAATATTCCGTACTTTCGTGGAGAAGGCTAACCCGAATTGTCTTCTGGACGAACGATAAAGCATTTCCGAGCGGCGGTGTACGCGAAACGAAACGTTCGTCTGGAAACAATGGCTAAAACGTTCCGCGAGCCTCGAATTTCGACTCGAGTCCTATTCGCGGCGAGGCTTGGTACTCGAACGGATTGGCTGAACGCTGCACGGTGGAAACGTTCGGTCATTTTCACGTGAAAACCGAAGAACTTTCGATAGAATCAGTACACAGCGTAAATTTCGTTTAACGCTACAACTACTGGGCAAATTCACTTTCCTCATTCCCCTATTTTTGAGAAAATTAATTGAGACTTCAACCAATTTACAGATCAATTTGCCTGTTACTAAATCACTTTCTCTAGTGATCTCTTCCAAAATTCGTAAGAAATACGCTTCGTAATTTCGAAATTTCTCACAGAATATGAATAAGTTTTAGAAAATCGCTCTATTTTAACCCTTAACTTGAAGTATTTCAAATTAATTTACCACGAAACAATACCGTAACATAGATAACAAACAGAAACAAATTCTCAGAAGTGACTTAGCACGTCACTTAACGAGTTAATTGTAAATATTACAATAACAGTGATGAAACTAATAAAATGATTCTTGCTACATAAGTGGCATTGGACCTAGTAAATAAAAATCCCATGCCGCTTATATGGCGGCATTGCCCCGTTAAGGGTTGATTCTATCAAAAGTTTTCCGAGTTCGACAGAGAAAGGACCGAATTTGATAAAAATTCACACTGTGCGCCGGTTTCGTCGTCGGAACGAAAGGATTCCGTCGATTCCGCGGCGTCGATTACCGTCGCCGCCCGGTTCCCTGGATAATCGTCGAGGATCTCCGCTTAAAAGCGCGGCCTAAAACGTCGGAGCGATTGTCATCGGGTAGAGCATCGGTGTAAAGCACTTGTAGAGTCCGCGGGTTCCCAACACACGAGCGCGAAAGTTTCGTTTTTACGAGTCTACGCGCTCGCGCGGCCAAGGCTGTGAAAAGCGGCCGCGCCGCGAGCGTTCCGAACGCTGCGCGCCGTTGCGCGGTACACATCGGTGAAAACGTGGAAAAAAATTCGCCCGTGTCGACACACGCGAGTACTCGTTGTGTCAGAATTGCGCAAAATGTAGTCCGATCGTGTGCTCGTCGGATTTTAAGACGACTCGGTAGCTGATTATCCTTTACAAGCTTCGATAATCGTCGATTGTGGCTGATTTACAATTGAAATTCAGGCGATCGCGAGCTTGAATGAATAATCGGGTGTTGGAAATTCGCGACGGAGTAAAAGTGGTATTTTAATCGTTGCTCTGAACGTGCGACGCGACGATTTTTCGAACGATTAATCTACAATTGAAATCGAGAGGCGTCTTAAGAGATAATTACAGATCGACGACTTGCAGTCGAATAAAAGTGGCATTTTAATCGCTAATCGCGACGTGCGATGCGACAGTTTTTTGAATTATTAATCTACAATTGAAATCGAGAGGCGTCGTAAACGATAATTACAGACTGTCTGCTTGCAATCGAATGAAATGTGAATTCTACTCGTTTGAATATGCAGCCGGATTACATTTCGCGCAACTCCGCGCCAGGTGCGCACACGAGATCGCCGGAACAAGCGAAACAGCGAATGCACGTTCCGTCCGAAGCGGACTTTCGAGAGAGGTCGGGCGATCGTT